CACTATCCCAAATACTCATAATTTCCAAGCTTTATGGAATGAAAAGCTTTCAAAATATAGAAACCTGGCCAAGGAGATTAAAATCATGGGGGAACAGGATGAGGTATACATCATTCCCGTTGTTCTGTCTGCTACTGGAGTTGTACCAGGGATGTTTTCAGTGAGCTTACAGGAGGTGAGCTTATATCTCAATACTTTTATTCAACTGCAAAAAGCAGTTATCTTATCCATTTGTGCAATAGTTCATAGAACATTGGACATTAAAGAATAATAGCGGAATCGTGACTTGTCCCAGGACCATTTTCATCTTAACCTCATTGAAAAAGTCGAGAAAGTGAGATAATAATGATAACAACGATGATGATGATAATAATAATAATTTAGGATCAGGTGACTGCCGCAAGAAGCTACAGAAAGCTTATCTCGAAGGAACCCAAATTTGTTGATCAAACAGGTTTTGCAATGATGTGGTAGAAAATATGTAACACATGGGCAAGATGCAAAAATTCAGCATTTGTCAGATACTTAGGAAGACATGGTCAATAACTAGAATTACGCACAAGAAGTTCATTATATCCCTCATAAACTAACATGACAGATCCCCATATTACAAATATAAATGTGCACATATAAATCCTCATATTACAATTACACATCCCCCCCAAATTCTTGAGAATTCCACATGCAAACCTTGAAAGAACTGTAACATCATTATAGACAGAATCGTTGCCTGCAACCTCTTGGATGTAACAATGATCCTTATAAATTTAAGAATGATATTTTCAAAAGATTCTGCCATACAGAATACCCCCAAACTATATGTAATGGAAAACTTTCAAACTATAGAAAATTTAGGAAGAAATTGAAACCATGTGGTAAATAGCATGAAGGACATGTCATCCTGTCTGCTGTTGGACTTGTCCTTAAGATGCTTTCAATGAATATATGTAAAATGAACTTACATCCCAAAACTCTTATTCAATTACAAAAAAAAAATAATTTTTTTCTACTTGTGAAAGGGTAAGTGACTTGTCCCTGGACTATTTCAATCTGAACATCATTGAAAAAGATGTAAACAACGAGATAGTCATAATAATGATAATGATAGTGATAATAGCTGGTATTTATTTTTATGTGTGCAAAGCATTTTTTATACAGCACCTCATTTTATATGTAGTAAACAGCAGAGCTGGAACTCAAACCTAGGTGACCTGATTCCTCATCCAACTCCTAATTGGTTTCCTGGCCACAAATCATCTCCCTTTTCCAATCCATTCTCTACATAGCTGTCAAATTGATTTTCCTAGTATCAGAAGCAGACTAGGTGGTGCAATGGATAGAGCACTGGACTAGAAGTCAGGAAGACCTGAGCTCAAATCCAGCCTCAAATTCTTAGTAGCTGTATGACCCTTGGAAAGTCACTTAAAATCTGTCTGCCTTAGTTTCCTCATCTGTAAAAAAGAGGATAATAATTGCGCTTACCTCAGAGGTTTGCTGTGATGACCAAAATAAGATAATAATTGTAAAGTGCTTAGCACAGTGTTTGGCACATAGTAGGGACTTAATAAATGTTTATTTCCTAATATGCAAGCCTAACCATGTCCCTCCCCTAATCAATAAACTCCAGCAGGTTTCTCTTGCCTTTAGAGTTTTAAGATGCAATGCAACTTCCCTTTGTATTTTTTTAAAGCCCTGCTCAACTTGGACCCAACCTACAGGAATTCACACCCACCTCCTCTCCACATTTTTGAATCCATAACAGTCAGAACTCTTTTCTCATGCCACCTTCTAGATGAGGGCTTCTTGATTCCCTGTAGCTGCTACTGTTCTCTCCCCTTCTCAAAAATTTACCCCGTACTTATTTTGTATACGTTTTTGTCGTTCAATTGTTTTTCAGTCATGTCTGACTTTCTGTGACCTCATTTGGGGTTTTCTTAGCAAAGATATTAGAGTGGTTTGCCATTTCCTTCTCCATCTCATTTTACAGATGAGGAAACTGAGGCAAACAGGGTTAAGTGACTTGCCATGGTCACACAGTCAATAAGTACCTGAGGCCGGATTTGAACTCTGGTCTTCCTGACTTCAGGCCTGGTGCTCTATCCACTGCGTTACCTATATTCATTTTATATATACTTTTGTTCTTGTCTCCCTGATATAATGCAAGTTTCTTGAGGGTAGGGACTATTTAATTTTGGTTTTTATATCCCTACCGCCTAGCCTCGCATCTGACACCTAGTAGGATACTTAATAAGTGCTTTATTAATTCATTGATCAGTTGATGAACTGTAACTCTTTAGGGGAAAGATATTGTGTCAGGTCGCATTGTCATTTTCAATGCTAGCTGAAACATTTCTGCTTATACTCTTTCTATTTTCAACAGAATTCTTCCAATTAGCATTGGTATGAGATGAGTTTCTGGAATTTGTCTCTGCTAGCTTGCTTGTTTGCCATTCTTTCTGTAGGGTTTAGTCAGGTTGCAGCCAATTACTTTTGCCACAGCATATTATGATGTGACAGAAAGGATGCACTGAATGGGGAGAATGGAGCATAAAAATACCAGAAGCTTTCATTTACATCAGAACACAGACTATGGCCTGAAGCTGTGATTCCTACAAGTTGTTTGCATGAGCTGTGCTTTCCAGTCACTCCAATGCCCTTTAGAACTAACAAAAAGGAAGCAAAATAATCTGCCTTGAATTTTTCTCCTCTTTGCTTCATATCATATCATATCAATAACATGATGCTCCCCGTTGTTGCTTTAAATGAACTAGTCTGATCACCATGGCCTGGAAGACGATCAATTTAATTTCCGTTGAGATGCCTAGAAGAGGCATACTGTAATTTTCCTCCTTTAATCCCAGAGAGAATAAATGAGCTACCTGCCACCTTCTGGCCTGGTTGTCATGTTGTAGAGGCCATCTGAATGTTTTCTGTTTTTGCTTATCAGCCCCTTGGTAATTTTTCCACAATCACACACTTGATTATCTAATGCCTTTGCACTGATTAAGTACGAATTTAATAAATTCTGGTTTAATTGTATCATTGACAATAGACTACAGAAACCCATCGTGTAACCATAGGATTTCACTTGTCTTATCATCATTGGCTGTTTCAACTTTGTCTTCGTACATATCTCAATACACATTCATCCTACCCTCTTAGTTTAGTCAATTCGTCCTTTTAATCACCCCTAGTATGAGCTCTTCTCACTCTTGGTTCCAGATCTATGGCTGAATCTGCATTTATCCACCTGCCGAACTCTTTCCAAAACAGGAGGCCCTATAGCTACAGGAAGCCTTCCCCTCTAAGGCAGTGAAAAGTGGTGCAAAAAAGCCAGAAAAGATGGTTTGGAGTCCAACTGTAGCCATTCACTTGTAATTGTAACCTTGGGGGTAAGTCACTTAATCTCTCTGAATCTTAGCTTCCTCATCTGGAAAATGATAGGGTTGGACTAAATGGTCTCCAAGATCCCTTCTGGCTCTGAGATTCTGTGCCTGTAAGTATGGATCCCACCCAACCCACACTAGCTGCCCCTCTGTGACAAGCCATAGCATCTCACAAACTGCTGCTCAATTTGAGGACATTTTCTGAATTTAGACTGAAAGTGATTTATGTGTATCATGAAGATCAGCCCCAACCTCTTGTAATGCCTCACCCATGGCATGAAAGTGACCCTGGGTTTTTGAAGGTTATACTTGTAGAACATCAACTTTAGAAGTCCCTACCAAGTTAGAAAGGCTTTCAGCACAGGCCTAGTGATGGATTATGTGTCTGTCATTTGAGGATTAGTGTCATCATCGGACCAGCCATTACGTATTGGTTTTCTTTGGCCAGAGAGACACATAAAGTATTGAAGGGATTGTGATATACATCTGGAGGAAATACCCACAAGGAAAAAATTATTGATTTTTGTAATTCTAAAGAATGATAATATACCCAAGGCAAGGAGGCAAAATTATACAGAATTAGTGCAATGAGCTAAATTTTCAATTGTCATTAATTTTTGTTTTTGTTGTTTATGGTTTAATTTCTTTCATTCTCAAAGCCTGAGTAGAAAGTGCGTGGAGGTGTTTCACACACTGAAAGTTGACATTTGATGTAAATTCTTTTAAAGAAGTCTTATACATTGGAAGGGGATAGCAGAGCAAATGCATTATTTGCTGATTACTTGTTTTTTTGTTTGGTTCTATTTTGTTAAATGCTTAGGGTTTTAGAGAACATTTAATTTCTCATTTTGCATATCTATTTGATTTATTTCTTATGTGGGTTATTAAATTTATAATAAAGTTAATTTACAGGGTCTCTTTTCTGTGTTCCTACTGTGGTAGACACTATCCTTTAGTCAAAGGGACTTGCCATTATCAATAGAAACCCTAGAAAAGAAGTAAGGTGTTTGTACTGCACTAGAATGTTGAAATTAGAGTCATGAAGACATGGATTTAGATCCTGTCTTTGACATTTACTAGTTGTATGAGCAAGGGTAAGTCACTTGACTCTTCTGAGTTTTAGTTTCTTAATCTACAAATTGGGGCCAATAATACTTTTCATATTATTAATAATATGAATTAATATTAATAATAATAACTGTTTGTAGTCATTTCAGTCTTGTCTGACTCTTTGTGACCTCATTTGGGGTTTTCTTGGCAAATATACTGGAGTAGTTTGCCATTTCCTTCTCCAGCTCAAAGGGTTGCATAAGGTGCAAGTGAGATGACATCACAATACGCATTGCAAAACTTAGAGATATACAAATGCTATCTAGATAAGATCTAAGGGAGAGAGTCCTGACAAGGGGCATTAGGGAAGGCTTTGTGAGTTGGAATTTGAAGGATTGGAAGGATTTTTCAACAGGTAGCTAAGGGATGGTGGACATTTCAGGTACAGGGGATAGTGTGCGCACCAGAATCATAACTTAATATCAATGCTTGCAAAGGAGATATTCCTGGGGAAAATATTCAGACCAGAATGCTCTTATGAAAGGACAATGAGTATTTTCTTACCTGCAACTTGGCAGCTGATTGTCACATTTACTCCTTGGATAGTTTTAATGACACTTCCCACATCGACTGTGATAGCAGGTAAGTCTGTATTGGTCATAGCCATCCTTGATGTCTTCACTAATGGTTTTCCTGTAAACAAGATGCAGTACCAGATGTTACAGGAAACAGACGCAGCTACGGGCTGGGGAGATCACATTTGTAACATGATAGACCAGCGGTTGCTGGGGTCTGGTAATCAGTGACAAATCTTGGTAAATCCATTTAAAGGTAAACACAGTTTCCTCTTTTTATCATTTTACTTTATAATATTACTTTCTTTGTATTATCCATTGTTATGTCTATAGTATATAGAATTCCTTGACCTTTTTTGGTCCTATATGGTTAATTTTTTTGTCTTGTGAATTTTTACAGAGGCAAACAATGTTCTAGGAAACATTTCTTACCATTTTGTTTTGCACCAGTAAAACATGCTTGTTAAGTAGTATTATATGGTATAGTTATCAGTTGTGATGTTGTATCATCCTGCTGTGTGGATACTCATCCTACCAATGAGGATCACATCTCTTTAACTTAGTAAAAGTAACTTACTAATGTAGTAAAATGGTACTCTAGAGATGTTGCTGCCAAAACATTCATTGTCTTATGGCCAAGCTAGTGATGAGGCCGTCCAGGTTTTAACTAGGCTGGTCCAAAGACAATAGATGTCCAATCCAACAATAGATCCCTCCCTGAAGTTCTTCCAGACTGGTGGGACCTGGAAGAGCTTATACTCTACAGTCATATCCCTCAAAGACAAGAGTCATCTTCATGCCACAATGATTATCCTATAACTTGGGAAAAACACGCAGCTTTGTGGAACCAATGTGGGTTCAACCAAATCAGAAGAACCTTTATTTTTCCATAGAAACCTGAGCAAACTCTCACTTTAAGAACTAGTGAGATAGTTACCTGAAAACAGGATCATCAATCACTAAAGTCATTATCTGGTTCACACACAAGCTAATTGAAACTACTGAGGAACAACTTCAGAAACAACCACTGGAGTGGAAAAACCCAACAAGATTGTGTATGCTTTATTGGAGCTACTAAATCAAAAGGGGAAAATAATTCAAGAAGAATTGTTTTTCCAATGAGGTTTCTGAAATCTCTTTATGAGATACAATATATGTTGACCATTAAACCTATAAAAAGAAGAAAAAAGAACCATGTCCCAGAAGAAGGTATTTCCCCTCATGTGAAAAATTCATGTAAATAGGACCACGCTGTCTTCTTTCAATGGGAGTTATGTGTTTTCCTAAATCCTTGTCTTCTCTTCATTTTCCTCTGCTGATGTTGTGAAATGTCAGGACTTACAATATCTCTTTTATGATATTTTAAAATCAATGACAACCTCAAACTTCTCCCTTATGGTTATGACCTCACTGATGGTCTACACCTGGAGAGCTGCTCATCTGCATTGGTAAGTGGAACTAAGCCATTGATCCAGACTGAAGCAATTTACTGGGTAACTACTGCTTTCCTTCAAATTCTACCCAGACCAATCAGTTCCTGAACCTTCCTAAGCATCTTGGCTGAGAACTTAATCTGCCTCGCTAAGGGGACTCCTAAAGTTGTATTTCCAGCTTCATATGTGTACACCTTAGTTTATTTATGCTGTAACATAAACTGTGGGTTCCTATTTCAAAAAGATAGAGAGTAGAGATGGGTAACATTTCAATAAGAGCCTTCCATACCCCTGGGAGAGAAATGGCCTGGTAGATAAACCTGTTGTCCAAATGCCAGGTAAATTACAGATTAGAGAGGAAGTAGGTAGACGTAAAATGAATTCTATTGGGTCTTTGGCTATGTATAATGTATATTGTCTGGTATAGTGCGAGCCTCCAGGGCCAGTATATCTCAGGTTTGTATGTCAGGCCACATTCTGATCAGTCCCAACTCCTGGGAGGTGTACTGCATAAATCCAGAAGATGCTCAGGTGGGTAATTAATAGAAATAATGGAAATTAATGGTAATTAATGTAAATAATGGTTAATTATGTAAATATTCTGATGTGCTCATTCAGATTTTAGGGGCTCCAGGCTGAATCATGACTGATTTGAACTTCTCTGAATGAACTGGAATCCACAGGGGACCTAGGCCTGGACTTTGAGCATATTCTTCAAATCATACAACTTCTGGCTGTGGATACTGTCTGGGGTCTTGAGGTTAACCAGGTATTCTCATCTTCTTTCATTTCTATTTTTAAAAAGATTTTATTTTGAAATAAGTGTTAAATAATAAGACCAATAAGATTTATAACAATTTATGTTGAAAAAGTTCATACATACCAACATCTATAATACCATATCAGTTATTCCCTCCCTTAGTGCCCTTTTCTATGGTTTTTGTTTATTTATTGCTAGACTTGAGTGTAATTTTTTTTTGATGGCACTCTCAGGGCAGAAATGTCTATATATCCCAATATAATTTAGTAACAAGTGTACTTATAGTCCAGATAAATGCACATGTGACTCTGAGGCCCTGTTTTGACAAATCTTGGCTGAGTATCTATACCGATGGAGTAGGTAGGCTCTATGCCAGATGCTGAGGATACAAACACATCTCCCAATCCCAGAATTCCAGAGTTGGAAGGGACCTCAGTAGCCATCCTGTCCAACCCAAACAAAAAAAGAATGTCCTTCACATTGTACCTGACAAATGGTCATCCAACCTTTGCTTGGTGACCTTTAACAAGGGGGGGAAGCCATTGCCTCTCTAGGCAGCTTCTTCTACTTTTAGACGGCTTTAATTATTAGGAAGTTTTCTCTAACATCAGACCTAGTTTTTTTCTCTCCATTGCTCCTAGTTGTGACCTCCACAATAAGCAGAGTAAGTCTAGGTCTAATCCATTCCTCAAATATTTGAAGACAACTTTTATGGCTCCCCGTAAGTTTTCTCTTTTGTAGCATAAACATCCTCAGTTCCATCATGATTCATATGACGTGGCTCCAGGCCCTTGATCATTCTGGCTGTGTCTCTTTGGATGCTCTCTAGTTTATGCATGTCTTTTCTAAAATGTAGCACCTAGCACTGAAGACCAGATCTCGCCTGACCAGGCAAGAATACAGTAGCACTGTTACTTCCCTATCCCTAGACATCATGCCTCTCAATCAAGGTTAAGATCACATTAACTTTCTTATTTATGTTTGTCCAGCTATGGTTCAGCTCCACAGGAGACTAAATATCCTTTGTTTACCAGAATTTAATACAATTATTGGAAACATCACTGACTCACATTGAGCTTGTAATACATTAAAACTCCCATGTTGTTTCCCTGGACAAATTCCTTTCTAACCATTTGTATGCTGGTATGGTCATCTTCCTCACCTTGTACTTTGAAGTTGATATTTTTAAACTCATGTTTAAGATAAATATAAATACTCCATTTTTAAAGAGCTTACAAATGTAGTAGGAGGAAAAGAAAGCAACCAATTAACCAACAAGCATTTTAAGCATCTGCAATGTGGCAGGCACCATGCTAGGTGCTGGGATATCAAGATAAGAATAATCAATCTCTGCCATCAAAGAGCTTACATTCTATCATGTACACAAAAGACTGTTCTATAAGGTGTGATCTTTAAGGCAATTTTCAGTTTTTAAGTCAAACTAGCCAAGGTACTCTTTGACTTAGTTTATAGAATGAAAACTTGATACATAGTTTGTGCTTTACTCCTACAAAGTGACAACTCCCATTCAAAAACTGATTTATGTCTCCAAGAAGTTGGAAGTATCCCCTTTCTCTGGGGTCTGATCTGCAGCTTTTGTGATCACACCTTATTGCTGGGTCTCTTTATATGACTCTCCCTAGGGACCCTCTGGCTTCTATGTTTCTCCTCTGCAGCTTGGAAGCTGCTGGTATCTTCTAGTAAGTTTTCTTCAAGAAGCTGAAGACCAGCTTGATGCTACCATTCACTTGCTTTATTCCAGACAGGTTTCCAATAATTGTATTAAATTCTGGTAAACAAAGGATATTTAGTCTGCTGTGGAGCTGAACCATAGCTGAATAAACATAAATAAGAAAGTTAAACCTCAAGGAGCCATTATTTGCCAGTAATTGGAGGAATGTCAACAGTGTCTTCGCCTTTTAGCAGGTAAGGGGAAGAATCATGTAACCAGAATGGAAGAGAGCATCTGGATCCAGTATAGAGAGATGCATAAAGATTGCTACCTGGAAGAAATTAAGGGAAAGGCAAATCTTATATCCACAAAAAATGCATTAAGAAGTCTGACATTAATCTACCCTGGGGCTTCACAGCTTAGCTAAATGATCATTGAACTCCATGATCCTGGTGAAGCCAGCAGCTAAGTTTCCATTCCTCATACAGTCACTAGGTTGCCAGGGTAGAAATTCTGATACTAAACAGATATAAGGCTAGAGCATGTGATTATTTGAATATGTGGTAGCATAGTGTGGGGGAAAGAAAATTGGGGAGAGAATTTTATTTTTTTATTTTTTTAAAAGAAAGAATGCTGGACTTGGAGCCAGAGGACCAGAGTTCAAATTATGACTCTGGCATGTACTTACTACCTATGTGACCTTGAGCAGAGAATTATGGTAGAGGGAACATTGACCTGGGAGTCCAGAGATTAGGCAGATAATAATAATAAAAGCAACAGCTACTCATGTTTATATAACACCTTAGCATTTACAAAACACTTTTCTCAACAACTCAGGTAGGTAATGTGTTATTCCCATTTTACAGAGGTGAAAACAATTATTTGCCCAAGGTCATGCAGGTGGAAACAGTCAGAGCTAGAACTAGATAGCTACCTATCTGTCTCTCTTCCTAATTCTGGGTCCAATGCTCTTTAGCATTGTGCTTCTCCACAGTGTGTTAATTTTTAATTTAATTAATTAAATTAATTAATTAAATTTTGATTTTTTAAAAAATTCTACCAGAGTGACATTGGGCAAGTCACTTTAAGACTCAGTTGTATCATCCATAAAATGGGGCAGTTGCTTTAGATGATCTCTGAGATTTCTTCTGTCCCCAAAATTCTGTATTTAGAAGGAAACATGTCCATTGTTATTGGCATGAAGTTGGAGACATTTCTGGGCTATACTCTTCTCTACCTGCATACCCTGATAAAACTTCAAACTCAACATATCCTGGACACAACTTGTCATCTAACCCCTAAATCCTGCCCCTCATTTCAACTTGCTTATTTCTGCTGATTATACCACCATCACTCAGTTACTCAGGCTCAAAAATTTAGTCATCGCTGACTCTTCCCTGTCCCTTATTTCCAAGTCCATCATGACATCTTTCTCATCTTTTTTCCTCCCTACCTTCTCATGCTGGCATCACCATAGCTTAGGCCTTTGTCACTACCCCCACAGACTGTAATAACCTTCCAATTGGTTATTCTGTTCCCCCTTCCATCCAGTTTTCACAAAGCTGCCAAACTAACCTTCCTGACCATGTCACTTCCCTCCTTGAAAGTTCTAGGGGATTCCTCTTGTCCATAGCATAAATATATAAACTCTTAGGCCAGTCACAAACTGTTTCCAACCTGCCTTTCCAGCTTCATTTCACGGTACCCCCTTAACAGTCTATCTCCCAGAGACTGGACCCAGAGGCTGTACTTTTGGCTTTAGTGAAGTCATGTGGATCATTTCCCACATTGGGAACAAACTTTCTCAGCATCTCTATTGATGGACTTTTTCCAACAATAAGAGTCAGTTTAAATACCACTTGCTCCATGAAGCTTTCCCCGAGTTTCTGAGGGAGAACTGATCTATCCCATCTCCAATTTTCTCAAAGCACACCGTAAGGCTCTTCTTTGTCCCACCACAATTTACTCTACATCTATTTTTTTAAAATACATGTCATGTCATCCCTATGAAATTGTAAGCTTCTTAAGGTAAAGGATTGTAGTTTTTTTTTTATCTGTGTCCTCAGTGCTCAGTATAAATTAGGGTATATAGTACATGCTTAATAAATTTGTTCAATTTAATTAAATTGCATTCCAGTAGAATATTTATGCCCATAAATTCAAGACCAAAGTAAAAGAGCTGGTGGTCTGCCTATGCTATGATATAAAGAGATTACAATTTTTAAAAATTAAAAAAAGAAAATAATAAATTTTGGTTGACAACAGAGAAAGAGAGAGAGAGAGATGCAGTGAAGGTGTAGAGGGTGATGACCTGTCACCTACTAGACTTTTCCATGCTTGGTATATGTTGACAAAGATCTTTGTGTTACCTGCTAAAGTGACAGCAATGGAGACTGAGTCGGATCCCAGGGCATTCGTGGCATTGCAAGTGTAGAAACCCACATCAGCTTCAACAGGTGCTAGGATCTGTAAGGAATCATCTGGTTGCAGAACAATTCTGGAAGCAATAGAAAAAAAATGCAGGTCTGGTCAGGTCTCTGATTTCTTTTCCTGGCATTTCTGGCTACAGTGAGTCAACTTTAATAACAGAGACAGACCCATCTTGTTGAAATGGGGAAACCAAGGATTTCTTACACTTTGGCTGTTGGGATTACAGCAGGGCCCTAAAAAAGACACAGGGCCCTTGTGTGCCTTTGTAGTTTGGTGATTAACTCAGTAAGAATTCATCATTAATCATGCTTCAGCACATTGTATATACTCTATGTGGCTGATGGTTGCAAATAAATCTGAAAATCTGGAAAAATTAATGACTGTCTCACTGAGAGACATAACAGTACAGTGGAAAGAATGTTGACTCTGGAGTCAAGGGATCTGGATTCAAATCTTGCCTATGATGCTTACTATCTGTGTGACTGGGCAAATCACTTAATCTCCCTTAGACAAAGATTTTTTTTTCACCTGTAAAATGAGGGGGTTAGGCTAAATGGTCTCTGAGATAAAAAAAATTTCTCTAAATCTATGTGCTTATGCTCTATATCTGTATGTGTTTCAACTGAGACAGATGGGCTAAAACAGAGGTTGAACTAGATCATCTTTGAGATCCTATTTAGCTCTGGAACTATGATCCTAAATTTGGATGCATACGGATGAGCAATTCTACAGGTCCAGTTGTTGCAGCTTCAGAATTCACAAAATTCATGGTTGATTTTCTGTTCATCTCATGGCATTTCTAGGAACCATTTACTTTAACTCCAGGAAACTAAAGATCAATGATTTTAAGCATCCAAGTGAGCTGCCATATTAAATACATTTTGGTGATAATGGCAATGAAACTTTTATGGAACCCTTAGCTCAGAAGGAGAAAGGAGAGAGGGAGAGAGAGAGAGAGACAGAGACAGAGAGAGGAAGGAGGGGGAAGAAGGGAAGGAATGAGGAGAAGGAAAGAGGGAGAGAGATCTATATGAGTTGATTTTACCAGAAAAAGCACACTTCTGATTCAATCAATTTAATGCTGCCTAACTTAATAAAAAGTAGAGTATAGACAAGAAAAACCAATACTGTGGAAACTGTTAAAATTCTGTCAGAAGAATGACAGTTGGGATCTCTGTGAGGAAAGTTAATACCTCTTTTGACTGACTAGTCCAAGATGAAGGAGAAATTACATCTCTGAACTAAGATGAAATAAACACAATTATGTTAACAGCAATTTATTATTTTTGTAAGTTGGCTTTACTTTATATTTCTTATTCACTTATTCACTACAGTTAATTTTTATTTGCTTATAATTGAAAAGCAATTCTTTTATAAACAAAACTATTCAGGGTTGGTTTTGTGTTCCCTATGTACATAAGGATCGCATATTCTTGAGGTTTCCAGATTGTACAGTCATTGGTATTGAATGCCTAGTTGGCACCTTCTTTTATAACTTGAAAGATTAAAATTCTTAGCTGGAAAGCTTAGCTAAGAATTCCAATGGATCACAATGAAAGTTGTGGGTTATAATATTCATGAGGAGGTCTGAGGGGGCTGAAGTAGGTGACCTCTGAGATCGCTTCTGGCTCTAAAGATATTTCCTTTCATGAAGGACAAGCATGGAGGCTAATGGGAAAAAGAGGAAAAAGCCCTAGAACTTGTCACCACTCAAAAATAGAGATGAATATTGTTAATATTTGTAGTTTGGTTATACAATCTGTGGTGTAGATAGAACTTGGACTAATCATGTCATGGAAACTCAGCACAGGAAGGAACCTTCGAGATTCCTTTGTCTAATCCAGGTAACACATAATAACACAGAGGGAATTTCCTTTACTACATGTCCACTCTAGCCTCCACTTACAGAACATGAATGATAAGAACCATACAACATTCTGAGGAAGCCCTTTCTACTTTTGAAGACCCCAAATTGCTAGCAAGTTTTTTTTTTAATTACATAGGGTCTAAATCTGTCTCTCTGTAACGTGTTTCTCCTGATTCTGCCCTTTGGGGTAGAGGGGATTAGAGAGGTAAACACTGAGCTAGGAAGACCCCTGACCCATCCTGACTTTGTAACACTGGGCTAATCATGAAAGCTCCCATTTTGCTATGACACCCTTTAAGACTATACATTTCAGAGAAGGTGCCAGTCTGCATTGGCAGAAGGAATTTCTTGGTTGGGAATTCCCTATATGAAAGAAATCACAGGTCTAGTACCTAACCTTATCTCTATTATTTATCTTCAATGAATTATAATTTTTGTGATGGTTTAGACAATACCAAGTATTATCACATTAGAATAGAATCAGAGAACCAGACAGAGTATCATCACTTATTTTATAAACTAGGAAAATAGAGTCCCAGAGAGTTGAAGTAATTTGCCCTTGTCATATAGCTAATAATAATGATAGTGGCAATAATTTTCACATATATAATTATGCACATATAATACATATGCATATGTACCATGCATACAGAATTCATATAAAATATAAATTATCATATATAATTTATGATATTTACACAATTTACAGAGCACTTTCCTCACAACACCATGCAGTAGGTGGTGTAGCTACTGTTACTCCCATTTTGCAGATGAGTAAAATAAGTTTCAGATGGATTACATGACTTGCCCATGGTCACACAGCTTAGAGCTATCAGGGATATCCTTCAAACCCACATGCCCTAGAGTAGAAGTCCAGGACTTTTCCACTAATACTTCGCTTGCAGAATTAGAACCCAGGATTCTTGGCTGCAGGTCTAGTGATCTTTCTGCTCTGTGAAAGGGGCTCCTTTTAGGACCACCAAAGGATCAAACCCTTCTTTCCTTGTTTCTTGTGACCAACAGTCATGCAAAAGCCCCATCTCCAATCGATTGCCAAGTTTGCCAATTCTCTCTCCTCCATGTCATCTTTCCTATCCATTTCCTTCTCTCCATGCACACAACCCCTACACTAGCGCAGGCCCTCCTCACCTCTTCATCTTATGTTCCTCTTTCAGGGATTAGTTTAGGTACTTCTTCCTATAGTCTTTTCCTTCATTGTTTGTGCTTTTCTCTATCCTCAAATTAGCTTGTATTCATTTCTTCATGTTTTACTCCCTAGTAGAATGTAAGATCCCTGAAGGTAGGCACTTTTTCCCATTTTTGTCTTTATATTCTCAGTGTCTGGTCCAGTGCTTGAATATAATAGACACTTAGTAGTTATTTGGTATAGTAATATGGATTAAAACATGGGTGTGCCTCAGCACTCTTCCTGTTTAAATCTATTTTTTTTCTTTTTCCCTCAATCTACTTAGGTATATATATAATGTTGGGGGGTTATATGTAGAGACGATTTATCAGCTAAGTGGCATGGTGCAGAGAGCACTGGACCTGGCAGCAGGAAGATTTGAAAAACAATCTGGCCTCAGACACTTACTAGCTGTATGACCCTGTGACCCTTGCTTGGGCAAGTCACTTAACCCTGTCTGCCTCAGTTTCCTGATCTGTAAAATGAGCTGCAGAAGGAAATGGCAAACCACTCCAGTATCTCTGCTAAGAAAACCCTAAATGGGGTCACAAAGAGTTGGACATGACTAAAAAATGATTGAACCACAACAGCAAAAATGTAGGAAACATTATCTTCAGTTGAAAAGAAGATAGCAAAATTATTTGCTCGTATCAGGGCCTAAGAGAATGGTTTTGCTACAGTGAAGATCACAACTTTGGAAGTTGCCAGCTGAATCTAGTTTCCCTGAGAGTTCACACTCCAGGTCTCTAGGAAATAAAAGAAAGGAAAGGGGGCTGAAGTCAATGGTTACTTCATTCTCTCAGTACCATCTTGCGGGGGGGGGGGGTAAGAAAAGTCTGGAAACAAAATTTTCTGTCTACTTTTGGTCATTTTTGTTCCATTAATACAGTTTCTACAAGGCAGGATTTTAATTTATTGGTAGCTCAGCTCTCTCAGTTGATATTTTGGTTACAAACCTGATATATTTCTACTTCAGATGCACAGGCTCAGAAAGACTATGCTGCTTTCCAAACAAAACCAGAAAGATTTTGTGGGGTTTTGTGATGGAATTTATGAAATCAGAGTAGAAGGGAGACAGAAGAAGGGGCAAAGGGGTTGGGAGCAGGACATTGAGAAGTGAAGTCTGCCAATGTGCAATGCAAGTGATAACTTGCCCAAGGGTCCATTATGCACAAGGGGCTAAAGTTTGTGTTATATGTGCTATCTCTCTGGAAATATATTCAGCCAGAAAATGGAGTAGAGTAGCGTTAACATTGCCCATGTCTGACAGCACAGGAGCCCAGATTTTCTGTCACATGCCTACTGTGCTAGATGCTGGGGAGGAGGCAAATACCAGGTCTGGAAAAGGCATGGTTACATTCTCTGTGACAACTTGAGTCCTCAAGGATCCAGGCATTAAGAGGGGAAAAGATTCCAGATCATTTTATTAGTCCACACAAATGTCATTCTTCTCCAAGTAAGGTGTGTGGAGGTAGATAAGACAAGACCAAAAAAAGCTTCTGGGGACATGTGCAGGTCAAGTCTTGTGATCTGAGGCAACTGGTGGCCCGTTGCATAACAGTATACCATGCTGTCTCTGTAAAGAGGTAGCTAGATGGCACATTGGTTAGGGCACTGGGCCTGGGGGGCAGGAAGACCTGAATTCAAATCCAGCCTCAGATACTAACTCTGTAATACTGGGCAAATCACTTCACTTCTGTTTGCCTCCATTTCCTTAACTGTAAAATGGGGATAACAATAGTACCTACTTCTTAGGGCTGTTCTGAGAATCAAACGAGATAATATTTATAAAGTTCTTAGAACAGTGCTTGGCACATAGTAGGTGTTTAACATTCCCTTCCTTCCTAAATATAATATCTAATACAAATGAGTATGTAATAAGTAAATGAAAGTGCTAGGAAATAAAGTGAGGTAGCGATCCCATGTCTGATCTGCTTCTCAGATTTCTCAGGGGTTAAGTATTTCTAAAATGACGATATAGCTCATATGTAATACCTACTACTTTTTTATTGGA